TCCACTTCATCAGACAGCAGAGTGTCTTTAGTAAGAGGCTTCTGTTGAGCCGCTGTAGACAGAACTCTACAGGAGATCCTTCCTGCCTACAACTATAAGCATCAACAGCTGGACGAAGAAATGCTACGAGTTACAACATTTAGATGAATACATTTTTTTTAAATGGAGTTGGATGTGGCAGAAAAAGGAAATTCTGACAATAAAAAACCTTGCAGCTAAAAACTGCATGTGAAGGCAGACAGCATGTAGATCACAGCTGTAGGTAACCCAAGCTGGCAAAGTTTGAAGGAAATGGAAAAAGTAAAGAATCCCGTTTTATAGTTGGTGGCATTTCTATTATTAATCAAATAAAGAAATCTTAGCTTTACATTGATTAGTTTGTAGCTCTAACTTTTAAAGTATTAGAAATGTGTATTTTCTCCTCCATCTTATTTTATCTAGCAGGCAGCAGTGGACAGAATATTATCTCTGGAAGAATTGGGATTCCTGCAGGTCTGCTTGTCTGTGCCCATCTTGGTCGACTGCTTTGGTTTTCATGAGGAGGAGCAGCTTGAACCTGTTTGTAAATCAGCACTTTTAGAACCTCTCTGCAGCAGAAAAACTGCCAACCGACTGAAAACATCTGTTGGCCGTCGACAGCTGCACACACAATATATGAGTTTTGAGCTGTAATTCTTATCCTCGCTCTAGCTTTATGGTAAATTTTGATTGCAAAATGCCCAACAGTGATTGTAATAAGCCACCCATCAGCCTTTAACATCTGCTTGCTGCTTTTCTCTACCAGGATCTCTGATTTGCAATCTACTCAATACTAAACATTTCTCGTCTCATCAACATTTTGACTTGTTTTGTGATTAACAAAAATAAAACAAACTGAAGCATGAAATAATTGCTGCCCTTTAGACCTCCAGGTGGATAAGCAGCCATTGATCGAAGAAGCATCATCTGACAATCAGCAAGTTGTTTAATGGTCATAATGTGCTGAAAGGACAGACGGAGGAGTTTGCTAGCTGTTAGCTTGGTAGCAATGTAAATTATTCTATTACTATTCATTTCTTACAGTTTTGTAATGTCACTGCCATATGTGCAAGAGAAGGAATGCCAGAGCGGAGGCATGTTAGCGTAGAACCATGAATGGATCCAGAGTCTTCCTGTAGTTCTGTTAGTGAACTGAGCAAGCTAAAAGAGGCTAACCTGTTAGCTAATAGGGGTGTAAATAATAATCATTTTGTATCGATGCATCGATCCAACAGCCGACGATCTGATGCATCGATTCATGTTTTGTTTTTTTTTCTGCGGTCTATTTTTATCCATTTGCTCCTGGGCGTAATTCTTCCTCCCGTGCTGCGGTGGCGCTAAACCTATTTTGCCCTCCTACTGCGCTTCCTGGTTATACTCCTGCAGCAGTGTGTCGCAGTGAGCTTGATGCAGACATTTTTAAAGTATGCTCAAAATTGCAGCGTGGTCTGAGCTACACGCTGTGGGTCTAGATACGGCCGAGGCGGCGAGGAAGTGGGAGCGAGTTTAGTCCGACGACGGAGGGACATGAGGGCCAAAAAGGGCGGAGATCAAGGAGGGAAAAGGGTCCCAGCGTTCTCGTGCACCTCGCTCTTCTAGCGGGTCAAACTTCACGAGTTGTTTTCCGCAATTTCGGTCATACAAACAACCAGCCGGCCTCCTGTCTCAAGCGCTGTCTGCGGTCAGCTACAATTTGGGAGAGGAGCAGCGGAGCGTCTGTGCAGGGGGCGGAACGTCTGGAGCCGAGGTATTGAATTGCACTCATTGCAATGATTTAATGCAGTATTTTTTTATGCAACTTTTCTACTTCTGTTATTTGCTGTTGTTTCTAAAAAAAAAAAAAAAAATGCATAACGATATTACAGCTTTCATTGATTTATTTCAAACTTCAAACTTTGTTTAGCCTGTAAGGTCTAAAAAAATGTTTTTTTAAATTAATCGATTAATCGAATCGTATCGTGGTGTATTCTTGAGTATTGAAAATAATCGAATCGTTGGGTCAGGAAATTGATACTGAATCGAATCGCCATGATGGATGTGATTAACACCCCTATTAGCTACTGAGCACAGCTAGCCACAGCGCTACCTAGCTCTTCCCCTTTATATCATCGTCTAACAGTTACTTTGTTCACCAGAAACAGATTTTTTTTTCAGTTTTGTTATCAATCAGGTAAAACTTCATCAGTCATTAGACACGCTAACGCTATGGATGCTCCCGACACACGGATGCTGCGTGATGTTATTATCGTTGTCTGGGCAACACCAATGTTTTACATCATGTGGCAACTTTTAGCCAATCATGTAGCGTAACATCACTGACATGAAGCGGAGGGGGGGGCTTCAGGTGTGCTGGGATGAGAGAAAAGTGGAGTGCTTTACATAACAGGATGTTAACCTGAGAGAAAAGCACTAAAGCACAGTAGATGGGGAGGCTTTTATGGCTCTTCATCCAGTCAAGTTTTAACATTCCTCTCACAGCAAACCAAACTACCTGGTTAAAAGCTCTGCTAGCAGCACAAAGCATTTCCCAGCACTTCATCCAGGGCTACACTAAAACTGAGAGCTAAATCACTGAGTGTCCACTGACAGCAACATACCCGGTCTGTTTATAATAGTTTCTCTTTATTGAGATTCACAAGTGATTCGCAGTTTATAGGTTCATATGTCATTATAGATTATAGGTATTTCCACGTTTATTAATAGATAAAGACCTTGTTTATTTAAAACAGCTGGAACAACTGTGAAAACCATAATCATGTAAAAAATTTTATACTGTAGAACATAGTTTTATGTAACATAAAGCACCTCTTAATACACGATAACTTAAGTCCCTGGTTTGAAGCTCTCCAGGTTCTTTCATTGTGAGCTAAAGACAGAGCTGAGCTACACAGACACTACATCAATCCTCTGTTTAAAACTCTAGATGGAAAACTTCAGAACTGACTGCAAAATATATCTGTAAATCCATCAATCTTGGTCCACTCTATAAAGCCTGGAACTTAACGCCAATTCTGACATTTTGGATTGAAAAAGCTTCCTGAGTGGGAAGAGAAACGTCTTCAGACTAAGAAAGAAAGTCCAGTGGATTGTTTTTTTTTACTTTTTTGGATTATCTCCATTCCATTCTCTGCAGAATCTGTTAGTTCAATCTCTAACGTTCTGCTCTCTCTGCTTTTTCTCATAGTAGCTTCATCTGGTCTGTTCCTGTTTGGCTGTGACTCCATCCTGGAGAGAAATATCAGCTGTGCTGCTGCCATCAACACCTTTGTTTCTAGATGTTGGAGCTTGGCCTGTTTTCCAGTGTAGTCCTGTTTCTCTGACTGTGACTAACTGGATGTGCTCTCTTCATCCTCTGACATGGGAGCTGGCTCGGAGCTCGTCTGCCTGGCTGTGTGTTTCCTGGACGGGGCCGCCTGTGGAGCTGGTTGACAGTTGCCTTTTGTATCTATGCTTCTTTTTCTATGTCTGCTTCTGTCTCCTTGAACCCCAGTGGGCCTCAGCAGATGGCCGCTCACACTGAGCCTGGTTCTGCTGGAGGTTTCTTCCTGTTCAAAGGGAGTTTTTCCTCTCCACTGTCGCTACAAGCATGCTTAGTGTGAGGGATTGCTGAAGAGTCAACAACAAAATGCCAGAGAAAATCACCACCATAAGCTCATCCAGGAGGAGCACGTCTTGCAGGTCAATGACTGGATACAATCAACCGTTTTTCCTAACCAATGTAAAGTCTGTTAGGTATTGTTGACTGAGACACATCAGACTGCAAGGAACAAAGCTTCCTTTTAATTCAGACACTTGCAAGTGGAGAGCTCACAGTTATGCAGAATCTCTAAGGCCCCGTCCACACGAAGTCAAAACGAACACGAAACGCTGATATTTTCCAAAACGTTTGCCGTAAAGACGGAGACGTAAAATAAATGTGATCGTCCACACGAATGCATGAAAACGCTGCAAAATGTATGCCAGGCCTGTAAGTGGCGCTGTGGTGCCAAAGCAAAAATAAGCCACGAAATGTTGGGGAATGCCCACTAATATTTATACATGGTTGCCCTGCGGGTCCATTTTCGTGGTTCAGTCAAATTCAGGTGCTGAACTATGTGGTCAATATTGCTCTGTTCTTCCTGGAGATATTCCAGAAGAAGAAGATTCTGTTGTAAGCCCGACAGCAGGGTGAGTAGCATTAGCAGCAACGGCGCCATTGTTGTTGTGATGTGTCGCGCATGCGTGTTTAGAGGCGACGCTATGACGCATGCTTGTAAAAAAAAAACATGCGGTTAGAGCGTAAAGATGGAAACGCGAAAACGGCGTTTCGAAATCTTCCCACTCTGAAGGCTGAATAAAAAAAAGATTGTTTACAGACCCCCGAAACGCCGGCTTCGTGTGGATGAGAGGCTGGTTTGGTGAAAAATTTGTGCGTTTAGGCCAGGGTTTGACTTCGTGTGGACGGGGCCTCAGTGAGCTCTGACTGGGCTGGCTCATTCCCCTCTACATATAGATCACTATCCCGCGCAAAAGAGGTTACAAAACATTAACAGAGACTATTTTGCACAACACAATGGTTTCCACAGAACTGACCTGTTGAGGTGTTTCATAGTAACTGTTTTACCACTAATTGCTCTTGCTTGGTACCGTTTAAAGAACACCTATTTCAAACTGACCGTTCCCAGCTTCTGCACAGATGTTTATCCTGTTAAGAAACTCTGCTAAGTCTCTGCAAGGTCATCTTACATCCTTATGACCTTTAACAAATATCCTGCTTGCTTAAAAAGATAGATATAAGTTGAACACACAATTTTAATTTCTGGTTAAGTGCCTTTACATGTGTTTTAAATTAGCGTTATATAAATAAACTGAATTGAAATATTTCATTTGCGTTTTCAGAAAAAAATAAAAATGTCTCCACCAATTTAAAAATAACGTAGTTGCCAATTTAAAATCTGATCGTAGTTAATTAGATTATAGATTTCCTTTTCTTCTACTCTTACCTCGTTCTGCAGCTCATCATCACTCCTCTGGGAGGCCAGCATCTCAAACAAGGAGGTGCACAACTCCTCTGGGTTGGACGAAATCATGTTCCCTCCTTCCAGATATTTCTCCACTTCTCTTTGAAGGACAGATCCATCCCCAGAGCCAGAATGTGTTCCAGAGCGGGAGACTTCATCCTCACCGGTGGACTTATTTCCGCTCTGCTGATTACTGAGAAAGTTGATAAAGTGTTGCTCCACTCTCTCAGACTCCTGAAGGTCTTCCAGTGGGTCAAGTGAATAAAAGTCATATGAGAAGGCAATGTTGCGTCCAAAGGAGGAGCCTCTCTGGGCGCTGTGACGAGAACTCTGGGTTTGGATGAAGTCTTCCACTCTGGAGTCACCGAGCGGCGCCACCAGCCGAGCCACGCAAGCGCAGGAGGCTTCGGCAGCGGAAGACGGGAAGGGGCCGAACATCTGCTTGATGGCGCGGGTCTCCTCGGTGCCAACATGGTCTTTGTTATGAAAGGTCTCAAACAGAAAGACAGCAGCACATTCGATGGCTTCCTGACCGTGATCTGCACCAACTGTTCAACAGAAAAAAAAACACAAAGACACTTAGTTAGACTTTTATGTCACCATGGCAACGGTTCCTGTGGTTATATCATATTCATACAGATAAATATATTTGCAAAATACTGGTTAGTTGCAGCCCGATTCTAAACGAACATGGCATCTATTCTTTCTCCCTGTAAGCATGTCCATGTTTTTATTACTGGCAGAATGAACTTTGACCCTGCAGCAGATTTCTGCACATACACTGTAACAGGAGGACCAGTGCTGGCTGGCCAATAGAGGGCGCCACTCCACCCAACCAGTGATCCTGATTAAGACATTTAAAAAAGGACAGGGCTCAATGTTAACCATCGTCCGATCTCCCGGGGCAAGTATTTTTGTATTGTCGGGAGAGTACAAATTTCATTGCCTTTGCCCGCCGGGCAAGTGCAATGCTCGCAAAAAAATATTTATCACTCAAAATTACTTTAAAATCACCGACATTCGATGAAAACGACCCAGAAGCGTTGCCGGCGCCATTTTTGTTGTTTTGTACACATTCTCGCATGATTTGAAAAAGGCGTGTGATTTGAAAAAGCCGGGTGATTTTCCGTAGCCTGACGTAGTCCTACTCAATTCTAGTCAGAATGAGTCTGATGCTGCTCCATAGAGCTGTGATTATGGGGCGTGTTTTGAACGAACCATGAAAAAAAATGCCTCTGCACTCAATTGGATAGACCTACAACCAATAAGAGCAACGGAGTGCGTGACATATGTTAAGCCAGGCATAGTTGTTGTCAACAAAAATCAAAATAAAATAACTCTGTATAATGATTCTCTAGAATAGTCACATTATATTAATAGTATTATCTTGTATAAACATACCGTGACTCTAAAATAAAAGTTATTCATTTGTGACTTTGACTTCTGTCTTGTGATTTATCTTAAGTTTTTAACCTGTCAAGTTTTTTTTAGATTTTTAGCATTAAAATGTATATTTTTCCAAGCACACAACAGTTTAAAGCAAAGTTTAGTTTGAAAAGAATGAGCAGGAAGGATTGAAAAGCATGTTAACACGGTAATGTAGGCTGGAGTTCATTATCTGACGCATGCAGATACACACCAGGAACCTGGAAACTTAAAAAATACTGAATTACAAAAAACATTTAAAAAACAAACATGTTTCATTGATATATATACAAAAATGTATATTTTTGAACTATATTTATCAAACATTATACTGGGCAAGTAAAAATTGTTTCTGGGCAAATGAAATGTGAAAGTCACTTGCCCAAAGGGCAAGTGGTAAAAATCCTTAACGTCAACCCCTGAAGGAGGAAGGAAGAAATGCAAGAAAAATCTTTTTCCAGGAAATAGTTTAGCTCGAAGGCTAGGCTAACTGCATGCAGTGAGGCTAAAGCTTTATCCTGCTTTTCTGTTTCCTTTTTCAACCGTCAGGATCTGATCCAGCGTGGATAAGGGCAGCCAGGACTGATTTAAAGCACTTTGCAGAAAAGGCAAAGAAGAATGAACAATCTGGGATTCACAGGAAAATAAAAGAATATAGTAAAATTTTTCATAAAATGTTTTAATAATGTTTTTTGTTGTTTGCATTCATATAAATAGACTGGTGTGATAACTCCACCAGCCGCCACTGGCGAGGGCGATGAAGTAAACAAAAAGAGCACAAATTAAAGGAGCTAAAAGCTGGACAGCATGGGTTCATTTGCTGACCAGGAGAAATGGGAGGGTAATCTGCAAATATAAATACCTCCTCCCACAAAGGAAATTTCTCAAACCTGAAATGGATCGCATCGCAGTTTCTGATTCTACGTTTAGCACATTTGAGCAGCATGCAGAAAGATGTGCCGCCGTCAGAAATTAAATTTTAAAACTACTGCTATTAATGTAGTAGCCATTCAGAATGTTCCCACTTTCCTTGATGAGTCCTTGGCTGGTCCCCTACAATTCCTTTTTAAACATCAATCTTTGTACTAAAAATTTCTTTCCATCATGATTTGTTCACATTAAGATCTAAAGAGAAGCGCCACCTCCTGGTCAGACCCTGTAATTCAGTGAAAGGCTGTAATCAGACTAAAAAATATGCACAGCAAAGAGAAGGCCAGTGGCATTTGGCTGCTGCCAGTGGCTGCTTCTGTAATTAAAAATAACATGAGTAGAGAATGAGGGAAATTCAAATTCAATTTCTAATGTTCCAAGTTTCAGCCCATAAAAAGTCAAATAAACACAAAACAAAAAGAGTGAACAGAAGAGAAAATGAGCTAAAACATGGATTTGAGAATGAGGAGTTCATTACAACCAGATCATTGGAGGATCTGGTTGAACTGTAAAGTGTCTTGAGATGACTCGTGTTGTGAATTGGCGCTATAGAAATAAAGTGAATTGAATTACCAATCTGTTTGGCTGCCTGAAGCAGGCTCTTCAGTTCCTGACTGGCAGCTTTGTCCTGATGTTCAGAGCAGAAGTGGACAATCTTCTGCCAGGTCAGCCCCTCCCTGGCAAACAGCTCCTGTCGCTTCAGTCTCTTTGTCTGCCACAAGAAAGAAGAAAATTACTCTCTAGTCTTCCTTTTTTTTTATTTTTTATCTTATTATATTGTATAGTTGGATGTGTGTATATATCATGTAAAACTGTAACTAGAGCGTGTAACAAAATTAATTTCCCTCTGGGATTATTAAAGTATTTCTGATTCTGATTCTGATTCTGATTTAGAGCCGGCGGATCACTGAAACATCAGCATTCAGCATCTGAAAACCAACAACAGTCTGGGTTTTACTGACATATTCACACACAGAGCAACTTTACCAAAAATGAGAATTTCAAAAACTATAGACAATAAAATGATAATGTTCTGGAAATGCATTTAAAGTCACCAAGAACACATTTATACCGTTGGAGTGGGACTAGAAACCAGGCTGAGAAGGAAAGAGCTGCAGCAGATGTTCAGACTAAAGCAACTTATGGGTCTGAAAAGATTCTACTCAAAAGTTTCAGAAGCAACAGCTGAAAGCAGCGTCTACTAGGGGTGTACAAAATAATCGTAATGATGATGCATCGTGATTCTAATTTTCGTGATCTACTGCATCGATTCTTGACGCCAAGTATCGATTATTAATAAAAAAAAATTAATAAATAAAATTGCATGAATGTTTGACGAACATCAGCCAAAAAGAAGTGTAATACAACTTCCAGTCCAGTAGATGTCACTGCGGATGTGTTGACGCACACTGCATTGTGTCACAAGCATTTCCGGCCGCGGGATACTGCGCCGAGTCATTAAAAAACAAAACATGGAGGAGAAAATATTGCAATGCATCCCAATAATTCAAGTATCGTGATACATCGTGATAGAATCGCATCGTGGCCTGTGAATCGTGATACGAATCGAATCGTGACTTCTTTCGCAATACCCACCCCTAGTGTCTACAGTGTAGAGGCCGAGTAATTAAACGTTTCATCACCAAGAGAAACATCAAAACTAGTAAAAAAATAAAAACAATTTTCGTCACGATCACTGAGTCTGGGAGCGGCCATTTTTGCCCAAATATAGTAGCCCCTCCCTCCTGCCATCTTCCAGCAGTGACGTCACGGTGCGGTAAGCCTAGCGCCATTCTCCCCGCTTTCCAAGCTAAATCAATGGGAACTACTAGACACATCTGCAATCAACAACAATTATTGAAGATTTCCAGAGGACTTCACCATTGAAATTCACCAGAGCTATAGTGAAACTGACAATGCCCACGTGCATGGCAGCTGGATGCTGGAATACATCGGGTAAAAGTGGAAAAAAAAAATCCTGATCCTCCACGGACGGGTCGGCAGTAGTGTTCTTTGGAAAAACATGGATGCCTCCAGTAAAGCACATTCAAATGAAAATTACTCTTAATTAAAAACATTTATCATTTATTTAACAGTATTTTTTAATTTTGAATTCTGAATATGACCGGGTTTTTCCTTTAAACAGGAATTATTCCAAATCTATAATTCATTATTCTATATCTTAAGTTCTGTGTGAACCACGGACTGTTAGTTCATATTTATTTGCTTTGTTTTCGGCTAACCGTGCACCCAGCTCCTGTTTGGAATAAAGCCACTGACGTCCTCCTGTTTAATGAACAGCTGGATGGAATCTGATGAGTTTGCCTACTGGATAAATGAGACTCAGACATTTTGCCTTTTGATTCAGGTGTTCTGGTAGCTGGTGGAGGCAGTGAAGGACCAGAGCAGCAGAACCTGCAGTGGAGTGATTTGAAAAGGAACCAACAAGAAAAAAGAAACCTCTAAAACGTCACAAGTGGGAGGAGGAGAAATGTTCATCTGATTACAGTAGATCTGATGAACAATCAGCTCAATGACAGAAGGTTAGGGTCCAATCCTTTTCCTCTTTAGGTCTGTAAAACATCTTCAATTAGTTTTTATTTCCCATTAATATGAGCATGAAATTAGATCTTCTGCCAATGGAATATGTTTACTCTCAAAATAAGATAACACATTAAACATAACATTACATAATATGCACTTGACATAAGGCAATGCAATGGATTTTTTCTTATTTTAAATGTAAATTGTCTTGTTGGCAAAGTATTTCACTTACCTCCTCAATTCAAGAAAAAAAAATCAACTTTTTAATAAAAAATTTTGCAGTGCAAATAATTATTAGTTTGCAAATCAATTAATCTGTCAATTATTTTTTCTAATAATCCGATAGCAGATTTGTTTTTAATAAATCAAACCAGGTGAAACTAAAAGGTTTCCACATGAGGAGTTCTGGATAAAGCAGATTGAAAGATGACTTTTTTTTTTTTTTATATCTTAAATGCAGACGATGCTGAAGATCCATGACATTATTGGGGCACCATGCACAGGAAGACAGGGTCTTGGAACATCCCATTTCCAACAGTGGAGCAAGGCAGGAACTAGGGAAAGAAAAGTGATGATTCAGGAGGAGGTTAGAAGTTTGGAGGAGGAAGGGCGAAGGTCAAAGGCTGTGGCACTATCTTCCCAAGGAGCCTGGACCAAGTGGGACCTCCCCAAGCGTAAGATCACTTGGGCAGAGCTTTGGAGGCTGGAGCCGTTTCGTATCTCCTTCTTACTGCGATCAGTGTATGACACACTCCCGACCCCAGCAAATTTGCACAGGTGGGGGCTATCTGAGAGCCCACTGTGCAAGCTCTGCGGGGAGAAAGGGACCATGGCGGATATCCTGTCTGGGTGTAAAATTGCACTTGCCCAAGGAAGATACAGGTGGCGCCATGACAAGGTGCTCCTGACACTTGCCAACACCCTAGAGCAGGAGAGGAAGAAGAAACGGCAGAAACATCCAAAGGCAACATCAATCCAGTTCGTAAGGGAAGGGGAAAAGCCACCAACCGCAGTTACAGCAAAATTTAGTCTACTGCAAAAGGCCCAATCCTGGGAAATGAAGGTTGACCTGGGCGGAAGGTTCAAGTTCCCACAGTTTGTCCAGACATCCCTGAGGCCAGATGTGGTACTGTGGTCAGAAGAAGCGAAGAAGATCATGCTTATTGAACTGACTGTCCCATGGGAGGAGGGGTGTGAACAGGCCTTTGAAAGGAAAAGTGGAAAGTATCAACACCTTCTGCATGAGTGCAGAGAGAAGGCATGGCAGTCATGGTTGTTCCCAGTCGAGGTCGGTTGTCGAGGGTTCCCTGCCCAGTCTGTATGGAGAATGTTCACAGCCATTGGATTGGGAGGGAGGGAAAGAAAGGTTGCAGCTCGCAGGATGGGGGAGGCAGCGGAAAAGCCTCATGCTGGTTATGGAGTAGGAGGGAGGAGGTTAGCTGGAAGCCAGGAGGAGGAGATGGGCAGTGACTTGGCCACCACTGCCGACCCACCACCGGGAGGCTGTAGTGGTTCAGGGTTGAAACAGCCAGTGAATGGTGGACGCCACCTGATGACATTGATTCCTCCTGGCCAAGGCTACATTCACTCAGGGTGAATGAAAGAGAAGCATCTTCGGATGTATATGTATTATATGCAGCTGAAATAAGGCAATGCAATTGATTTTCTGATTTTAAACATAAATTATGCCGTTCTATTGGCAAATTGTCTCACTTTCTTCCTCAATTTAAGAAATAAATGTTATTTATGTTAAGACAAAATGACTTATTTAGATAAAAAAAAAATTTGCAGTGTATTCAGGACGGTTCAGGAAAGGAAAGTTTACTTCAGTAAGAAGACGGTTCCAAGTTTAACCTGATGATGATTTATTAGAAATAAAGAAAAAGGAGTGGAAAAGGTTGCTTTTCCTTTCATTTATCAGTGATTAAGACACTTATAATATAAAATTATATCAAAATTAAGAACATTTCTTTAGTCATTTTAAAAAGCAAAACAGTTCTGCATAATCATTCATAGAGTTTTAGAAACCAACATTTAATCTGCTCTATAGAGTGTTTTCTGGTTTGGTGCTAAAGGAATACTGTAAAAGGTTGTTTTTCTTTCCACGTTTATTCTACATCACAGACGCCATGAATCCACAGCGGTTCTGGTGAAGCTGGTGTTAATGAGCCTAACTTTTGTTTTTTTTAACAGCATCTCATTAAAGTAATAAGGTTTTAAATCTGAGCAGGTCTGACAGTTCAGGGCTCAGAGGCCAGCAGAAGCGCTAACACACCGACTCCACCACCATCAGTATCTGTAGGCTTCTAAAACTAAGCATTTTAGCGGGAGATCATCTCACAGTAACTGCAGCCATCTTTTCCCTGGAGAAGCACTTTTTCTGCTTAGTGGATTTAATGAGAGCTGAGCCAGGTAAAAGCCAAGGTCTGCATATTGCCCCAAATTCCATTTCAAGTGTCAGAGAAATAAACTAGAAAGGGAGACACCTGGTTTTAAGTCTGAGTGCTTCTATAAATACAAAAATAAAACCCAGACAGCCTCAAATGTGCATCACATAATGAGGGCTTCTCTACAGGAGAAAACACATGCATGAATCCATCGGCAAAAATTACTGGTGATTTAGTGAATCCAATTTTTTTATAGACTAACACCAGCCAGCAAATTAGCTAAAAGACTTCATATAAAAAACAAACCAAAAGCTAATCTTGCTCGATGGAAGAGACGATGAGTCCAGAACAGGAGGCCAGAAAATCTTTGGAATCAGAGACGATTTAATGATGCGATCAAGTTTATGCAGAATTAAAAACACAAACGCATCATGAAAGGACTCCTGATCTCAGCCCTCAACACGTCCCAGACCAGCAGTTAAGCCACAATCACACCGCACGCGTTGCGGGCGTCAAAGCGTCGGGTTTACGACTGTTTACACACCATACTAGCACAGTTCCTCGCCCCCTAGTGGTGATCTACCGTACTACTGCTCTCTAGAGGTAAACAAGCAAACTAACATGGCAGCGCCCGTGACATTCAGGAATTTTGTGGAGAGTCAGGCGAAGAAGCAGCCTTTGGTGGATTTACTTGACAGTCAGTTCTTGGAAAAAGGATACGACAAACGATAGTCTAATCAGGGCTTACGGACCGAGAAACAATGACGGACTTAAAGGTTCATCAAACTGCTGAGCAGAATCCTCACTGTAATGCTTTTCATTAAACGGATGCTTTCTCCATTAGATTTAGACGACTGTGAGGAGACGGGTAGCCTGGCTGGCTCAGAGGCTGCAGCTCCCGTTCACTTCCTTCTGTTTTCTCTGAGGCAGGCAGGAATAACATTTCCCAGGTTTCACAGAATCCATAAGAGAATCGGAATCGGGAAAGTCCTATCAATTCCCAACCCTAGTCATTGTGTCATTTTACTCTGATCTGAGCATCTAGATGGATGGAGATGATAACCGTTTATTGGCAACAGAGCGGGGATGCAGCGCATTGATGCTTTAATCAACCTTTCAATTTCAATTTAGTTTATTTCTATAAGCTCCAATTCACCTCATTTCAGTAAAAGAAGTTTAGCAGATCCTGCTTTGAAATGTCTTAGATTTTCAAATCTGTCTTCGGTTAAATGCTTCGAGCAAATGACCAGCTGAGTATCAAACTTTGCAGGGATCTTCTGATAGACAGAAATTATCCATTCCTGTAGAGTCTTTGGATCCTTGGGAAGACTGAAAATGTTCCCCTTCCTCCGGTCAGCCTGGAACGCTGCATTTCCTCCCGTGGTTCTGGCTCATTTTCAATAGAGAAACTTCCTGCTTTGTAATTCTGTAGAAGTAAACCCAACTGTAGCTAAACAGCTAAACTGCTGTCTTCCATCTTCCTCTATTCATGGTGTTAGGCCAGTGAACCAGTGGGCTGGTCTGGATGTACATTTCAGGGCGTGACAAAAGTACAGGCCAGAACCAAATAAGGCAACATCCCAGAGTTTACGTCAACTAGGAGCTTTGTTTGGATTCACCCGTTTTATGGTGGAAGTTTAGAATTGTGAGATTTGCAGAGAAAGGAGGAGTTGATGGAGTTTGAACTTCTCTGTTCGTCCATTTCACCCCCTGAACTATCGTTATTCATCTATGACAATGGAAACTCGTCTTTGCATTCTATGATCCCTTTAAAGCACCTTAAAGAGATAATTCAACCAGATCATCCAGTCAGATTGATTCAAAGTTTTCTATCTAAGGAAAACCAGCTGATTGCATCGACTCATTGACTCTTCAGCAATCCCTCACACTAAGCATGCTTGTAGCGACAGTGGAGAGGAAAAACTCCCTTTGAACAGGAAGAAACCTCCAGCAGAACCAGGCTCAGTGTGAGCAGCCATCTGCTGAGGCCCACTGGAGCTTTTCTTCAGACGTCTGCTTTGTTTTCAAATTTCCACTCTTTATCCATTCCTCGAATCAAAATCACCAAAACCAATTCAGATCTAGGGGTGGGTATTGGCAAAGAAGTCATGATTCGATACGAATCACGATTCACATGCCACGATGTGATTCGATCACGATGTATCACAATACTTAAAATATTGGGATGCATCGCGATGCATTGAGATATTTTCACTGAACACTGTAAGAAACAGATCCAGCCCTTACCAGTGGCTGACTGGCTGTGTGTGATCTAGATAGTGTCTTCAATCGATACATAACTGAAAGCAACTGAATTCTTACATAGCTGTATTTACTGAAACGACTGTTGGAGGTGTTGCCATGAAAACATATTCTGGACACAAATATTACTATCACTGGTGTGGACACACTGAATAAAACGATCTTAGGATACATAAAAATTAAAATAACAAAATAAGGATAATCAGTGCCGTTTACATGGCCTCAGTGGTCCTTTTGCAAATGACGTGCATCATATCAATTTCATTTTTACCTTCTTTGGTTTTAAAGCCAGAATGCATCCAAGTATCTCACCTGAAATGTGATGGAAATGCTTGTGACATATGGCAGCTGGTGTCAACACATCCGCAGCAACATCTGCTGGACTGAAAGTTGTATTCCACTTGATTTGGCTGATGTGCACCAACCATTAATGCATTTTATTTGTTCTTTTTTTTTTTTATATTCGATTCTTGCCTTCAAGAATCGATGCAGTAGATCACAAAAATTAGAATCGCGATGCATCGTCATGAAAATTATTTTGCACACCCTTATTCAGATCATAAAATTCTTTCACCTTTTACGAACGATTTCCGTGCAGGGGAACAACAACAGTTATACTAATAGGGAGTGGTGGCCTAGTGGTCAAGGCGTTGAACTTGGGTCCCAGAGTTTCAGAGTTTAAGCCCTACTCCCACCGCCTGCACTCTGGGTCCCTGAGCAAAGCCCCTTAACCCCACACTGCTCCCCAGGGGGATGGGTTAAATGCAGAGATTGCAGTTCATTGCTCTGTTTGTGTGGCAGTGTAATGACAATAAAGTTGGATTCTATTCTACCCCAAAAGGAGAAGATGGCAACCAGAGCAAAAACTATTAAAAAAACATGAGCATCTGCTCATCACATACCAACATCGCTGTAAGCAATAATTCCCATCAATATGTTTTAATCTAAACCTTTGTTTATCTCAGGGTTAATATAATTTCCAAAAAGTGATTCATTTATTTATGTTTGTTGAAACAGACACATCAATGAAAGTAGATGTTGTTGTGACTTCCCTGGATGTGATAAAAATGTCTTGAATCCAAGTTAAAGCTCCATGTTGCTTCTTTCTCCTCAGCTCAAAAGTAGCACAATAAATCCTCCATATGTCTATGAAGGGAAAACTCTGGATTATTTTTCCTCACCTTCAGGTCATAAAGCTGTTCAACAGGATCCTCCTTCTTACTGACATTAGAGAAGGAGCGGAGAGCTCCTGTCAGACGTGGAGGAGACATTGGTTCCTCTGTCCTTCCTCCTCTCAGCTCTTCAGCTCCTTCCTGTCACTCTGACATGAAAACACACAGACCAATAACAGCATGTTAATAAAAAGCTTAAGCACCTTCATTCATCTGGCTAATGGAGGCAGGTCCATTTCTATAAACCAGCTGGTTCAGCTTCTGATGAAACACCTGGCAGAGGAACCATCTGACCACCTGGATCCAAACTTTTCCACACCATCTTATCAGTGATAAAAACTTCTTCTAAAGTTAAATGTTTGACACAGACAGGATTATACCTCCTCTTTCTGTGAACAGCTTTATAAAAGTCACAAACCTCTGAAAGTTTGTGTAAACATCAGGCAGTGAGCTGCTAGCTAAAGCTAAGCCTGCCAGCACTGCGCTCGCGCTTCCTTTAGCCGCGTTAGCTTTACCCCTACATCCACAGCAGGCAGCGGAGCATTTCTAACCCGGGTCACTGTCTGTTTCCTGACATATTTCTGTTTTCTTACCTTCCGAAGAGCTTCCAAACTACTGGCAGACACAGCCAGGCTGCAGGTTGTCTAACACCGGCTTGTGTCAGAAGTAAACGTTCAGCACATAGGATTGTGGGTATTGTAGTTTAGCGTTCAGCTTCAGCTACAAGGAAGCTGTTTCATAAAAACTACATTACCCATCGACATTAAGTAGGGTTGCTCATCTTAGTAGGATGGTACGGAATTTAATAGTTTATTTAAAAAAGCAACAGAAACAACAACAAAATTAAACTATATTAATTGAGACAAACGTCAAAGTGTCTTAAACACTGAGAAAGAGATTAGCCAGTCCTGCTCTACTTTTCACTGTAAATTTGCCACTCACAGTAATTTAATTTAACAAAAGCTCTTAGTAACTTTGCTAAAAAAAAAAAAAAAATCGTAATTTTTGTTTTGTGTTTGTTTATTCATATTTGTTTATATTTTATCTTTATGGAAAATATGGAATTTATTACCATAGTATACTGAAACCAGTGATATACCTTTATTTTTATTTTTTTTTAGATCTAATTTCCTTGTAATAGGTAATCTTTCTGTGTCAGCAGCTCATATCAGGTAATAGCAGCACCTCTTCAGAAGTCTTTGTGCTTTTGTTATTACAGTTTTTCTCACTCCCTATGCTACAGAAGAGGATAAGGACCACTGGAAAAAAAAAAAAAGTTAACTGATTTTAAATTTTATTTTAGTTTAATATGGGAAAAAAGTCAGAATTCTGACTTTTTTCTCAGAATTCTGACTTTAATCTCAGAGTTTTGGATCTTAATGTAGATGGGCACCAAGAAAGAAGAGATGTGGAGCACTCAGCTTCACTGACAAAGATGTGAGTTTTTTGAGAGGGCCAGTGACACATTGGTGGAAAATGACGGAATTAGGCAACGTTTTACGTGCCCGAGGGGTCCCCTCATTCATAGAGGGGCAGAAAACAAGAGAGCTAGTCTCTAAAACAGACATGGCTATGGCTTGATGCTAACATGTTTGTTATCTGTCAGAATTCTGAGGTAAAAGTCAGAATCCTGAGAAAAAAGTCAGGATTCTGAGAAAAAAGTCAGAATCCTGAGATTAAAGTCAGAATTTTGAGATAAAGTCAGGATTCTGAGAAAAAAGTCAGAATTCTGACTTTTTTACCATGTTAAACTGAAATACAATTTAAAAATCAGAGAACTTTTTTTTTCAGTGGCCTAATCCTCTTCCATACTATGGTGCATATTTTCCATCACTATTAATATTTGCAACATTTTGTTAAAAGTATAGAGGACAGTCTTTTATTTCCTGTTAGCTGTCTTTTTCTGCGCACTTTTAGGCGTATATATGTGGTGAGCTACGGTTTCAGACAGTCATTGAAGCTCACCTCTCTCACCGCGGTTCTTTGGAAATGGCAGAGGGTCGGAAGAGAAAAAGTGTCTATGAAGTCTATGAGAAGAAAAGAAAGGCCTCAGAAGAGGCAGACATATCCCAGAATGCTTTGCACTCCTCGCAAAACACTCTGGGATTTGCTGTCATGGCGGCCCGCTGTCGCCATAAGCTGAGAATACACTGTATGATTTTTTTGCAGTTTTTGGGCCGGTTCTCCAGTCGTGCGAGAATTTTCCGATCGGGCCGACTTTCAGCCTTGTTGCGCATGCTTCATCACGTAGCGTCTCTCACGACCACCTCCCGATCAGGAATCGTAACGTTGGGAGAAAAATCAAACATGTTTGAAATTAGGTCGCCATTGTAAGGTCGCATCAGAGTGCCGGGACGTACAGTGTGAGAACATGCATCATGCGCTGTGAACTTTTAAACCCTGCAGTTTTGTCCTACAGTTTGAGCTCTAGCTTTGTACAATGTATAAAAGAAATCGCTATAGGCTGTTGCTACCTGACAGCGGCGACTAATAACAAAGATGGCGCAGGCACCGCACGGAGAGAGGAGTTACGCGACCAACGGAGCAAAAAGCAGTGATCATCTGTCCGAACGGTCAGTTAACTGAGTTTTCCATAAAGTTCACTATATAGTCCCCATTCTATACACTGATGGAGGGATTTAGGGGTTTGGGCAGACGTATGAGCTTTGAGAAGAGCCCATTTTAAACAGAGCGTGCATGAGGAGAAATGGGCTCATGCACGCACTTGAACATGCATTTTTTCTTTTTTAAATGGAGAGGGTGGGTCTTTTCAAAAACCCTCCACAATACCTTTAAATCGCCACACAATGAAGCATATTTGCACATTATAGGTGCAGTCTCTCTGCCTTCCACAAAATTGCAAAAAAGTGCTGTTTTATAACAGTATCTTTAGCTTCTTTCATGTCAGGCAAACTGAACCATGCAGAAGAGTCTTTCCATATAAAACTAATACTCCTCCTTTCTTTGCTCACAACTTATTTGTCGTCTGTAACTATGTATTTAAACAGTAATGTGAGAAATGTTCCAAAATGTTTTTCATTTTTGAGAATAAAAATGAAAGAGTGGTTCTTGAAACATGATGACACGTTTCCTACTGGACTGAAAAATTCATGGATTTTGAGTGATTTCAAGTAACAATGTACAAATACTTTGTTACTTTACTTAAGTGAAAATGTTTTCTATCTATACTTTACTGGAGTCATTATTTCTTAGAACACCTTTTACTTTCTGCTCCTTACATTTTAAAAATAGACTTGTTCATTATATTTCATTTAAGCTCTTTTTCATTATGACTAGGGGTGTAAATCACATCCATCATGGCGATTCGATTCAGTATCGATTTCCTGTCCCAACGATTCGATTATTTTCGATACTCAAGAAAACACCACGATACGATTCGATGCGATTAATCGGTTATTTATTTTATTTTATTTTATTTTTTACACCTTACAGGCTAAACAAAGTTTCAAGTTTGAAATAAATCAATGAAAGCTGTAATATCGTTATGCATTTCTTTTTGTTGAAACAACAGCAAATAACAGACGTCTCCGCCCCCTCCACAGACGTTCCGCTGCTCCTCTCCCAAATTGTAGCTGACCGCAGACAGTGCCGCAGACAGGAGGCCGGCTTGGTTTGTTTTTAATTATCAAAAATTGTGGAAAACAACTCGTGAAGTTTGACCCACTAGAAGAGCGAGGTGCGCGAGAACGCTGGGACCCTTTTTCCACCGCTCCACCTGGATCACAAAATGTTCCTTCAATAGGGTACAGCATTAAAGTTTCTGGCCTTAACATTTTTTCCTAAATTATTTTTACTTTTACATTTTAAGTTGTTTTAAAAATAGTACTTTTACTGGAGTAAAATGCTGAAGTTGATCCTCTAACTTCTACAAAAATATTTTTTCAAACAGTTGGATTTATACTCCTACTGACGTAATAAACATTAATACTGTTGGCACCTCTGATTTAGATAGATGATAACTCATAGATCATTTGGTGTCTGAAGACCCTGCTGCTGCCTCTATGTTAACACGGCTATCGTGAAACGTAGCATTGTCAGAACGCTGGTGAAGATTCTCAGTCATACAGTACAGGTCATAGTTCTTACAAAAAAGTTAAAAAACAAATAGCTGGACTTTGAAACACGTTTTCAAAACAAAAACAAGGCTTTGTTGAGCAACTGCATAAAGCCTGGAACTCAACGCTATTTCTGACATTTTGAATTGAAAAAGCTTCCTGGATGGAAGAGAAACGTCTTCAAACTGGGAAACAAAGTCTAGTGGATTATTTTTTAACTTTTTTGCATTTTCAGAACCAATAAAACTTCTCAATTGAGTCCATTTCACACAGACTCCATTTAAGATGCCAGTGTGTTTATTACATTGGGGTGCTTGTAGCACAGCTTTGCTCATTCAGGCTGACGCTGTGGTGAATGTTAGAGGGTGGCTTTACAACAGCATGCCAACACTGTCGCAAAGCCTGAGCTCCTGATTTAGTTAAACCCCGTTGGATCCAATGCCAGCTCACTGGTTATATAACTTTGCCCCTGTTTCTGTCGCTGTACATGGCTTGAGATGCACCCCAGTCTAACCTTGGACAGGCTGTATGTAGGGAGCCAGTGTTACATTTATCACAATCTGTCCCAGCCAACACAGCCCTGAAAGCGCTGACAGCTGAATGTCTCATACAACTTTCAGGCTGACAGCGGTCAGTGACAGATCCTGTGAACCAGTGACTTTAGTTTGGGCAGACCTGTCACAGAGAAGCCAAAGCTGAGCAGGAACTGTCTGTATTAACTACATATATTAGATGACATAAAACATCTGCTTGTTTTTCTAGACTTTCTTCAATTCCATTCACAACACATGTCATCTCAAGGCACGTTACAATTCCACCAGATCATCCAGTCAGATTGATTCAAAGTTTTCTATCTAAGGAAAACCAGCTGATTGCATCGACTCATTGACTCTTCAGCAATCCCTCACACTAAGCATGCTTGTAGCGACAGTGGAGAGGAAAAACTCCCTTTGAACAGGAAGAAACCTCCAGCAGAACCAGGCTCAGTGTGAGCGGCCATCTGCTGAGGCCCACTGGGGTTCAAGGAGACAGAAGCAGACATAGAAAAAGAAGCATAGATACAAAAGGCAACTGTCAACCAGCTCCACAGGCGGCCCCGTCCAGGAAACACACAGCCAGGCAGACGAGCTCCGAGCCAGCTCCCATGTCAGAGGATGAAGAGAGCTCATCCAGTTAGTCACAGTCAGAGAAACAGGACTACACTGGAAAACAGGCCAAGCTCCAACATCTAGAAACAAAGGTGTTGATGGCAGCAGCACAGCTGATATTTCTCTCCAGAATGGAGTCACAGCCAAACAGGAACAGACCAGATGAAGCTACTATGAGAAAAAGCAGAGAGAGCAGAACGTTAGAGATTGAACTAACAGATTCTGCAGAGTGGGAGAATAGAGATAGAATGAAGCAGAATGATGAAAAAGGGGTCCCTATGTCCTCCAGCAGTCTAAGCCTATAGCAGCAGAACTATAGAGATAGCTCAGGATAACCTGAGCCACTCTAACTAGAAGCTTTATCAAAAAGGAAAGTTTTAAGCCTAGCCTTAAAAGTAGACAGGGTGTCTGCCTCACGGACTAAAACTGGTAGTTGGTTCCACAGGAGAGGAGCCTGATGACTA